GCTGCTCAGAAACCAGGCCGTTAACCGCAATCTTCCTACGCTGGGGCAAAGAACCGGCCCCTGTGTTAACAAATCCACTCTTGGTGGCAGCTCCCAGGGTGGACGAGAGGCCAAACTCTTTCAGGGTCGCAAACCACGCCCGCCGCGGCCAGAAGGGAGCTATCAGGATTAACGAGGTCCCCTCTGTCCTGAATTTCCTCAGGACCAGGGGGAGCAAAGGAAGCGGGGGAAAGGCGTAACAAAGCCGGTAGTCCCACCTCTGACCTAATGCGTCCACCGCTCTGGACCCGTCCCAGCGGGATAGAGAGAAGAAATTTGGGACCTTGTTGTTCCTTCCGGAGGCAAAAAGGTCCACATCCGGGGATCCCCACCTTCGCACAATCTCCTGAAAGACATCGGGGTTCAAGGCCCATTCCGACTCCCTGAGCCGAGTCCTGCTCAGGAAGTCTGCCTTCTGGTTCAGCTCCCCCTTTAAGTGTATCGCAGACAGGGACGCCAAATTCAGCTCTGCCCAGGACAACAGTGTCGCCGCTAAGGCCCCGAGGGCCTTGCTCCGCGTCCCTCCCTGCCTGTTTATATAAGCCACTGCCGTGGCATTGTCCGTCAGGACACGCACGTGCTGGCCCGTGACCCCCGCCTGGAAGGAGTGCAGAGCCTCCCACACTGCCCTCAATTCCTTCCAATTCGAGGATTTGTCCTTCTGCCCTAAGGACCATTCCCCCTGAGACACCAAATTTCCCAGGTGGGCTCCCCAGCCCCTGGCGCTGGCATCCGTAGTGACCTCCGCGGAAATCGGAAAGCACCACAACAGCCCCTGAGTTATGCTGGACGATCTCCTCCACCACCATAGAGACCTTTTCACACTGGGGGGCACCAAGACCCTGCGTTCTAGGGAGTGACACTTCCTGTCCCAAACCCTCAGGATCCACAACTGGAGGGGACGCATATGCAGACCTGCCCACTGAACTGCCGGAATGGACGCTGTCAGCAATCCAAGTACCGACATGGCCTGTCTTATGGACATTGACCTGCTCCCCTGCAGTAATCTGACTCCGGCCTCCAACTTGGTGACTTTTTCCAAAGTCAGGCTGGTCTTTTGGTCTACCGAGTCTAGAGTGTAGCCCAAGTAAATCACCTTCTGAGAAGGCACCAGGCAGGACTTCTCCAGATTCAAAATCCACCCCAAGCTTTCCAGATGGTTCCTCACTATAACCAGGTCTTGCCGTAAGTGAGCCTCTGAATCCGCGAAGAGCAGCAAATCGTCCAGATAGGCCACCACTGAAATCCCCCTCAAGCGGATAGAAATCAGTGCCTCCGACAGAACCTTGGTGAATACTCTTGGCGAGGAGGAAAGGCCGAATGGAAGAGCCCTGAACTGCCAGTGTCGAACCCCTTCCTCCCCCCCCCACTGCCAACCTGAGGAACCTCTGAGAGGCTTCCCCACGCCACGGGCACGTGCAGGTAGGCGTCCTTCAAGTCTATGGATGCCATGAATGCACCTGGTGGGATTAGGGACCTGATCGTAAAAATGGAATCCATGCGGAACCTCCGGTAACGCACCGACTTGTTCAAGGGTTTCAGGTTCAAAATCAGTCTGAACGCCCCAGACGGCTTTTGAACCACAAACACATGGGAATAAACTCCCTTCCCTCGCTCCGCTACCGGAACCCTGGAGATGACCCCCTGGGACTCCAGAATCTCCAAAGCGCCCACCAGAGCCGCGTCCTTCGTCGGATCCCTTGGACGGGTCGTCACCAAAAAAGTCTCGGGTGGCGGTCTCAGAAATTCCAACCGGTAAACCCCTTCGGATGACATCCAAAATGAAGGGGCTGGTGACCACGGCTTCCCACTGTGGGAGGAATGCCGCCAATCTTCCCCCCACAGGAGGAACCAAGTCACCTTGGTTTTTGGGGCTGCTCAGGAGGGCGAAAAATCGCTCCCCCTCTTCCCCTACCTCTCTGTCCCGCCGACCTACCCTGACCAGGCGGTCGCAGGCTCAGCCTCTTTGCCGGGCGGGCCTTCCGTGTCCCCCCCTCCTGCATTTTCCTCTTGAGGGGGAAGGACTTTTTCCTATCAGCTGTCCGGTCCAATAATTCCTCCAACCCCGGGCCGAACAGACAGTCTCCTGTGAGGGGGATGCCGCATAACCTAACTTTTGAAGTGATGTCCCCCTGCCATGTCTTTAGCCACAGCGCCCTTCTGGCTGAATTGGTCAGGGCAGCAGACCTGGCCCCCAATCTCACCGACTCTGCGGAAGCATCCGCAATATACCCCACTCCTTGCAAAAGGGTCTCAAAAGAGGCCAAGATTTTTTCCTTGGGAGAGTCTGCCACAATATGGGCCTGTAATTGCGTAAGCCAATACTCTAAGTTCCTGGCCACCACTGTCGTAGCCATGGCCGGCTTCAGGTTGTACAGGGTCGAGTCCCAGGCCTTCCTAAGGAGAGACTCTGCCCTTCTGTCCAATAAGTCTGGTAAGACCCCCATGTCCTCAAACGCTAGGTCAGTTCTCCTGGTTGTTTGGGAAAAGGCCGCGTCTAGCCTGGGGCTCTTGTTCCAGACCGCCTCCGGGTCTTCCGAAAACGGAAACCTCCTCCTCAATGCTTTTGAGAAGAACGGTTTCCTTTCCGGGTCTTGCCACTCCTTCTTAATCGTGTCTACCAAAATGTCATGCACAGGAAACATTCTGTGCTGGTGCTCCTCCAATCCCTGATACATTTGGTCGTGGAGAGATAAGGCCTTAACCTCCTCCTTAATGTCCAGGGTTTCGTATATAGCCCCCAGGAGCTCATCAACCTCCTCTAGGGTCAACTTATACCGGGAGGGGCCCCTCCCTTCCTCTGAGGGACCCTCACCCGCTGATTCCTCCTCAGACTGGGAGTCCCCCACTGGTTCCCTCCCCAGTCATAAGGGGTTCCCGACGACTCACCGAAGCCACCTGGGGGGGGGGGGAAGTGTAGGTAATGGGAGGGCAAACCTCTCCATGAGGGACTTGAAGGAGTCGAAGGTGGTAGCCAACTCCTTCACTGACCTAGCTAGGTCCCCCTGTTCCGGCTTCTCCTCCCTCACCAACCCCTGTATACATGGGCCACAAAGAACCTTTCGCCAAGATTCTTTTAAAACTTCCTTACAGGAAGGGCATCTCCGCTTGGGCTCCTGGTGCCTAAGTTTAGCTCGGGCCTTGCCCTGCAAGACACAAAAGAAAAGGGGGGAGGAGGGAAGCCCAATCAGTCCGACACTAAACACCCCCCCCCCCCCCCCTGCTTCCCGGCAGAGCAACAAGGGCCTGAAAAAACCGCAGACCCCTTGCCCTACCTTCTGCTAGGGGCCCACAGGTAGGGGAGGCCTCCACTGAGGCACCTTACCTGCGACTGGCTGGTGCTGGCATCTCCTGGTCCCGGTGCCTCCGACATCCCGAACCGGAGGGTGGTCGCCTGGTGCAGGTCTGTCCCCCAGACCGCTGTGCACCGCACCGCCATATTCGAATTTCGCGCCGCCGTGGTGTGAAGGCCGCGACCGGAAGCGGAAGTCGCGGCCCTGGGCGAAGCCCCGCCCCTTCCGCCGGAAACCGCCGTCTCCCGACGTCCGGCCCGGCAAAGCCCTCAGACCGCCAGCATGGGCAGGAGCGGAACTCCCCCCGATCCTCCCCAGACCTCACCACGGCCACCCCGACACCCCCCCTCGCCGGAGGGGGTCGGGGGGCGAAGAGCAGGTAAGTGCCCTGTCCCGTCCCCCGGGATGCACTCTCACTGCTGGCAGCCTGCCCTGGGAGGATATGCAGCCGGACACTCCGGCCTTCACTCCCGGCTGCGTCGGGCCTCACAGCCGGCTATCCGGCCCTCGGCTCCCCTATCGTCCTCCTGCGCCTCCTCGTGTCTCCCCACCGGAGGAAACACCTGAACTGAGGTCAGAGGGGAGTGGAGCTTTTTTATTGTAGGTGGAGGTGTTTCCTCAGATGGGGAGGAGCCAAGGTCTCTCAGAGTGCTGGCCTGAAAGACGGTAGGGGAAAAAAGGAAGAAGAAGGCGAGCACCTACGTTTGTGTCAAGGTGTTCTAAAGCAGTGAGGACCCTGAGAGCTAGTTCTGCAAACCAGAAAATTCCTCCCACACAAACGAAACTTGGGTATTGTGCCCCTGAAACTGTGGAAATACCAGATAAGGGCAGGGATTCAGAGCTAAGTTGACCATTAAGAAGGCATTACAGAGCAAACTATGCAGGGGTTCGCCATATACTGATTGGAGGAATTTGGGAGCCCATCCCTTTGCCCTTCCCTCTGCTTCTCTGCCTGCTTAATGTCATAGCTTGCTGAAAGACAATAGGTCTGTAATCCTGATATGGAAGTGGCCACTCAGCTCATAGGAGTGTCTGCCAAACCCAGATACCTATGTGACAAGTTGTCCCGCAACACGTGTTCCGATACATGCTGCACACTAATGTTGCCAACGCACGTGTTCACCATCCAGGGGAACCCAAAAAGGCAGACACAAACAATGATGTCATCATGCTCTCACCGTTCTGGCCAGGGTAATCACTGTTAAACACCATTACGGCAGTGTTCAACGATAGCCTCAGCACCAGAGAACACAGTGGGGACCGCCACACATCCACATATAGAGACACTCACTGCTTCTAATGGCAGCACTGTCTCTGTTCTCGCATGCAGAATCCAAGTACTGTCCCTTTTGGCCTCAGGGCCGTAGGGGACCAATTCAAAATTAAGCCTATTCCTTCCCCTGTAGGAGTGTACAACAGACAAGGAAAACAGAAGCAATGCCCACTAAAAGAATCTTCAGGTAGTTCCGCAGGCATATCCATCCCTCTAAAGACATTAGCAAAAAACTGAGGCTTAGCTGAACTGAGAAGTGTTAGACCCTTTTTTTGGCCTTTATCCAACATAACCCAAATAAACATGAATATGAAGTGCCCTGTGACATACGGTTAAGAAATAGTTGGTTCTTCCTTAAAAATTGGAAGCATAAAGTGAGAAAAAAAAAAAAGTACCTTGCTGCTGTCCTCCAACTGAAATGAGGTTCTTCATAGGAGGTGAGGGACATCTCTGGGCAACAGCCCTCCTGAAAGATAATGTACAGAATGTTCTGTCATCTCAAGGTCCTTCTAAGCATGAGCTACTAGGGAACCAATTGAAATTCTATGGATCTAATAGGTTTTTTTCCTTGGTATGACTAAAGCTATACTGATCTGTGTCATAATAACGATTTATATGAATAGGTTTTTTGTTCAGTATTTAGACTGTGATGATAATTGTACAAAAGGGACAGATATATACAGCAATAGAGTTCCCGAACACACTAGTGGCACCTGCACACTATCACTACCACTAGATACAAAACACTCCATACTTTTGACTGTATTACAGTGAACTTTTGTAAAAGACAAATAAAACGCTCTTAGGTTACCTTAACACCAGTTTAAGCCTTTCTTGAAGGATTTCGTAAGTGTTACTAAACCCAGGACCCTGCATTCACTATATCTGGTCTCCCACAGTACACAGAACATGAAAGTGCAATTATTTTAGTAAACACTAAATATCTTTTTCTCATCAGCAGTTACAGCAGATTCCTTTGAGACAGTGTGTGTGCACGAAGCGCATCAGAGAGGAGCGGACATCTTTGTGAGTGATTTTTTACTTTGCCGTTTGTCAGATAGCTCAACGTGGTTGCTAACTTTTAATAAAACATACTACACTGTAATACACTGTCTCCGGGCTTGGTTTATGAGCTTCTACTTTAGGAGGGACTCCACCCTTGGATAGACCGCTGACTGGAGATGGGAATTGAGCAGATTTGCCCCTAAGTGTCAGACCGTTCTATGCTGGTTTGCTGCTTGCATCTGGAGGGACCCCACCCCTGGATAGACCTCTGACTGGAGATGGGAATTGAGCAGATTTGCCCCTAAGTGTCAGACCGTTCTATGCTGGTTTGCTACTTGCTTCTGGTGAGTGCATATGGTGGAGGATTAACACGGAAGTCACTAATATCTATTCTTCGATTGATCACATCACATTTTTTCGGGACTATTATATGGTTTAGTTCCCTACTTTGGGACATATCATTGTGTATCACTTATACTTTTGTCATGAAATCTAGCATCACAGTCTGTCCTTTCACACAGTGGAACCTTGTGTGCAGTCATTTGTTGCTAAAGAGACTTCAACACCTTTGCCACTATGAAACAGGAGCACTGACTGTCATTTACAGCATCCTCTGCCTGCAGATCATTCTGCTTAGGAGTACTTTTGTTCCATTTTATATTCTGCACCTAGCCCTGACGAAGGTGGATTGTGTGGACCCCGAAACGTGTTGCTGTCTTTTGCTCTGCTTGCCTGAACCAGGTAAACAATAATACCTTTGGATTCCTAAGAATTTTTTTTTTTTATTTGGTGCTCTCTTTGACCTACTATTGACAAAATTTGGCAAACATCTGCCGCACAGACAGGAGTTAGTATCCCAGTCCACCCAAAGCAGCTCATATCTACAGGTATCTTAAGACCTGACCAATTTTCCAATTCCTTCTATTCTATAGACTGGGGGAAAACATTTGATATATCAAGTTAAAACAAAAAAAGGCTACTTTTCAACTGGTGATGCTAGACCTAGGTGGTCCTTATCTTGGTCAATAAAAGGCATATGTATCACATACATTAGTTTTGATTTTATTTACATCTAATATGAAAGGTTTCCAGCTACAGGAAATACTTACAAGAACTGTCCACCCTGGGAGAAGCCCATGCTGTTGTAGCCCTGCTGAAGATTTGGGTCTTTTGCAAGCTGATCACAAACAATGTCAACCTGCTTATTTACATTTAGGAAAAAGCTATTCTCCATGTCCTGGGGAAAAAAAAAGTAATAAAGAAATAAAAAAAATTGCACAGTCATGTGAAAAATTAGGTATAGCCCATGGCAACTGTTGACCTTTTCAACACATTTGAACAGGCACACAGACTTTTAGTCAAACAGTGGCTACAGATAAATATGATATACTTGACTAAGAACACAAGAAAAATTAGCTTTTTCAATCATTTATTCACCAAAATATAAATAGTTGTAATGGTGTGGTAAAAAGTAAGTATTGCTTAGTAGCAGAAATCACTGCTTGTAGACATTTTGTATAACTGCTGACCAGTCTCAACATTTTTTAATCACTTTTCTATGTAAACTTTCTTTAGTTGCAAGATATTTGGGGGTTTCCTTGCATGAACTGCCCTTTTCAAAGTCCAAAAAAAAAAAAAAAAAAAAAAAAATCAATGGGAATCAAATCAGGGCTTTGAACAGGGCAGTCCTTAACTCTCCATTTCTTGGTGGATTTGATTGACTCGTATCATTATTTTGTTTAACCAGTTCCGCTATTTGGAGCTGCTATTGCAGCCATTAGCTTATGCTATGTTTGCACAGCCAACTCCCAGCTTCAAAGTGAAAGTGATGTATGAGCTATATAACTACCAATTACTTTCACAGAGCGGGGAGACACTGACAGGGTGGTGCAACCCATCCCCCACGGTTCCCAGGCTCTCCCAATCTTACCAAAAGCCAGGGACCACAACCGCTGGCTCCAGGATGGACAGCTGTGTGAGAGCAAGGCAAATCCATGCCTCAATCTCACCTGTAAACTAAAAGCATAACTGATAATGATTTCACATTTTTTCCTAAGAGGTACAGCCAGGGGACACAACTAAGGCCCCTTTCACACGAGGCAGACTGCGGTTGTGATCCACATGCAAAGCAAGGGATCTGTCCGTTGATCCCTGCTGAGCAGCTGGATGACAGCTTCGTGTCCACTCTGCACAAGACCACTCTCCTCTTTGGGCAATTGGATGTAGACAGACCACCTGTCATCCAATCCAACCTGCTGGACGGAAGGGGAATGGATCCCCATCCATCTTTTTGGCAGATCGGATTAGATTGGATATAGGCAGGTGTAAATGGACATGTGTCTATAGAGGAGAACATTGGTTCTGATGGGGTCTGCCCGAAAAATGGATAGGCGGACCCAATCCGAATGTCCATTAGACCCCCAATATCTCCATAAAGAATACACCTGCCCAATGCCATCACATGGGGATTTACAACCCTTTGTGATAGCAATCAAGTAAAAACAGACAATAGAAAAAAAGAAAGTGGTGTTTACTACCATTTTAAGTTTCTGCATCGAATAGGGAAGGATAACAATTTAGGTCTGGTTTTTATTTCTGTGAAAAGGGATATGGGGTGTCGCTGAGGGAGTTTTTGCTGTTTTCATATCTGTCACTGAGATTATATTTCCTTATATAAACTGCATGTTTGATAAAGAAGGATCTCTAGTAGGATATACGATAGTATTTCTAGATTTAATTTGTAATATATTGATTTTAGTGTTTTTATTTTGGAATGGAAAATAAACTATCCTAGGTCTTACTGCTACATGTGTGCACCTTTAAAATCCTTTCTACTAAAATTATTTCTGGACTAGGCCTTTTTCCTACTTTGACAGGAGTGAGGAGATCTCTCTCCAATAGGGATGGAAACAGCAATAAAAATCTGACATTTTAACGTTCACCTTTGGAACATGTCACATTTTTCCACCCATTTTTAGGGTGGACCATGTAACATGTTCCCATAGCCGCAGCCATGACCCCCCCCTCCCTCTGACAGATTGTGCAGGAAGACTTCTCCCTGTACTGTCAGCTTTGAAAACCATGTGGCCGTGCGGGGCTCCACCCACATGGCTGCGTCACTCATTCACAGTCTTCTGTGAATGATGCCTACATGTCCCGGCAGCCTTAGCGGCTGTGGGCTTGTAGTTTTCAATGAACTACCACAGTGCTGTGGAGCTCCATGGTAGTTCATTGAAGCTTCCTTTCCGAATATCTGCTTGCTTGTACATCCCGTATGGCTAGCAGATATTCTGACAGGTCTGCAGAAGACCTGCATGGCACCAGCGATCTACTGATCGCTGGTGACATGCTTTACAGGCTCCTTTGGATAAAAAATAATAAATTTAAATATTTTTACCTGAAAAAAAAAAAATGTGCATTATTTTTGTCCAAAAGGTGAACTTATCCTTTAACTTTACCTCTCTGTATTCAAAAGCAAAATACATTTTTTTTTCCTGAAGCTGGCCTTTAAATGTGGACTAAACCCTCCTATCCTTTACCACCAGGGAAGCTGTCATCTTTGCAGCTGTTTGATCTACAGTTGCAATGGTGCTGCACATGTGACTAGTTACGATACCAGCCATTTGACAGTTCACTCGAGAGCGCGCAAGCAACTGTGACTATTATCATCTGCAACATGCCTTGAATGTAACTGTTTTGGGAAACTATTAAAGTGACGGGTTTAGTTCCTTTCACATGGGCAATCTGATCAGGTCTGCCTGTCAGTTTTTCAGGTGGACCCAATTGAAAGGTCCATGCATTCCTATGTACAGACGGGTGTAAATGGACTTGTGTGTTTATACCCAGCTACCTCCAGGTCTGATTGGGTCCAGAAAAAAAAAAAAAAAAAAAAAGGAATATGAAGGGGATCTGTTCTCTTCCATTTGGGTGGACTGGATTGGAGGGCAGTCGGGTGTAAATGGACAGCAGAGTCAATTTACTCTTAGCCAGCTATAGAGCACATTGGGCTCTGTCCATGTCCACTCTGTATAAACTGAATGAACAGGGACCTGTCATCTCCCATTCTGCTCTGATCAGCAGATAGATCCCTTGCTGATTGCAATGGAATCTGTCCCGTGTGAAAGGGGCCTAACACAACAGAGGTTCTCAGTTAAAGGAGCAACGTTTAAATGCTCTGCAATAAATGTGTTTTATGTAACAGGCATCACATTTGGTCATTTCCAGCCCAATGTGAACAGCAAGAAGGAAGCAGAAATAACACAGTATGTTGTATATCATATAGCAGCTGGTCATTTGTTCACATAAAATGTGAGCACTATTGGGTGGCTCTCAGTAGGTAGTATGTGCATACAGATCTAGACTAGAGGAAAGTCCCTCCATTGCTGACATCACACACAGTCTGAGCCCTGCAGTCTCCTCCACATGACATAATACAATGTTACACTCACCTGCACTATGTTGTCTCCTATCTTCAGGGACAGCACGTAGATTCCAGGGATCTGCTGCTCCACCAGCTTCTTTATACCGCCCATGCTGAGGGGGTTACAGCAGGAGTCTCCTGGATCAGATACAACAGAGCAGAGGATGACTGCACCTTGTACTACACTACGGTGAACACAGCCTCCCCCGACTACTACCCTCCTTACCCATCCCATGCCAGATAACGAGCGGCACCGGGGCCTCAGCCTTGTCCACAACAACGTCCCCGCACACAGCGACCATCCACAACCCGCACACAGCAAACTTCACAAACTCCATGGCAGTGCGAGCGCCACTTCCTGGTATGATCACATGACAATGTGTCAGCTGACTCCTAGCCCTGATTCTGCCCATGTGACCTGCAGAGGAGAAAGGACCTGGGGGAGGGGGCGGGGCTGCGGGGAGAGAGAGAGATTGGAGTTCCCAGTAACACAACTCACGTGCTTCTATTTAACAGGCCTGCTCTGTATCATTGCTGTCACTATACAATCTGATCGTACAACTTCCAAGAGGCCGATCACTTACTATGCAATCTGATCGTACGACTTCCAAGAGGCCGATCACTTACTATGCAATCTGATCGTACGACTTCTAAGAGGCCGATCACTTACTATGCAATCTGATCGTACGACTTCCAAGAGTACGACTTCCAAGAGGCCGATCACTTACTATGCAATCTGATCGTACGACTTCTAAGAGGCCGATCACTTACTATGCAATCTGATCGTACGACTTCCACGACGATCACACAATCTGATCGTGTACACTTCCACGAGGCCGATCATCACACTATGCAATCTGATCGTACTACTTCCACGAGGCCGATCATTTTACTATGCAATCTGATCGTACGACTTCCACGAGGCCGATCATTTACTATGCAATCTGAGTACGACTTCGAGGCCGATCACTTACTATGCAATCTGATCGTACGACTTCTACGAGGCCGATCACACACTATGCAATCTGATCGTACGACTTCCACGAGGCCGATCACACACTATGCAACTGATCGTACGACTTCCACGAGGCCGATCACACACTATGCAATCTGATCGTACGACTTCCACGAGGCCGATCACACACTATGCAATCTGACTTCGACGACTTCTATAAGAGGCCGATCACTTACTATGCAATCTGATCGTACGACTTCCACGAGGCGCACACACACTATGCAATCTGATCGTACGACTTCCACGAGGCCGATCACACACTATGCAATCTGATCGTACAACTTCCACGAGGCCGATCATTTACTATGCAATCTGATCGTACGACTTCTAAGAGGCCGATCACTTACTATGCAATCTGATCGTACGACTTCTAAGAGGCCACTTACTATGCAATCTGATCGTACGATCGATCGGAGCCGATCACACACTATGCAACTGATCGTACGACTTCCACGAGGCCGATCACACACTATGCAATCTGATCGTACGACTTCCACGAGGCCGATCACACACTATGCAATCTGATCGTACGACTTCCACGAGGCCGATCACACACTATGCAATCTGATCGTACGACTTCACGAGGCCGATCACACACTATGCAATCTGATCGTACGACTCCACGAGGCCGATCACACACTATGCAACTGATCGTGACTTCGTACAACTTCGATCACTTACTATGCAATCTGATCGTACGACTTCACGAGACGATCACACACTATGCAAGCTGATCGTACGACTTCCACGAGGCCGATCACACACTATGCAATCTGATCGTACGACTTCCACGAGGCCGATCACACACTATGCAATCTGATCGTACGACTTCCACGAGGCGATCACACACTATGCAATCCGATCGTACGACTTCCACGAGGCCGATCACACACTATGCAATCCGATCGTACGACTTCCAAGAGGCCGATCACTTACTATGCAATCTGATCGTACGACTTCCAAGAGGCCGATCACTTACTATGCAATCTGATCGTCACGACTTCTAAGAGGCCGATCACTTACTATGCAATCTGATCGTACGACTTCCACGAGGCGATCACACACTATGCAAGCTGATCGTACGACTTCCACGAGGCCGATCACACACTATGCAATCTGATCGTACGACTTCCACGAGGCCGCACATTACTATTCTGATAACGACTTCCACGAGGCCGATCACACACTATGCAATGATCGTACGACTTCCACGAGGCCGATCACACACTATGCAATCTGATCGTACGACTTCCACGAGGCCGATCACACACTATGCAATCTGATCGTACGACTTCCACGAGGCCGATCACACACTATGCAATCTGATCGTACGACTCCACGAAGCCGATCACACACTATGCAATCTGATCGTACGACTTCCACGAGGCCGATCACACACACTATGCAAGCTGATCGTACGACTTCCACGAGGCCGATCACACACTATGCAATCTGATCGTACGACTTCCACGAGGCCGATCACACACTATGCAATCTGATCGTACGACTTCCACGAGGCGATCACACACTATGCAATCTGATCGTACGACTTCCACGAGGCCGATCACACACTATGCAATGATCGTACGACTTCCACGAGGCCGATCACACACTATGATCAAGAGGCCGATCACACACTATGCAATCTGATCGTACGACTTCCACGAGGCCGATCACACACTATGCAATCTGATCGTACGACTTCCACGAGGCCGATCACACACTATCGTACAACTTCCACGAGGCCGATCACACACTATCGTACGACTTCCACGAGGCCGATCACACACTATGCAATCTGATCGTACGACTTCCACGAGGCCGATCACACACTATGCAATCCGATCGATCGTACGACTTCCACGAGGGCCGATCACACACTATGCAATCCGATCGTACGACTTCCACGAGGCCGATCACACACTATGCAATCCGATCGTACGACTTCCACGAGGCCGATCACACACTATGCAATCTGATCGTACGACTTCCAAGAGGCCGATCACACACTATGCAATCCGATCGTACGACTTCCACGAGGCCGATCACACACTATGCAATCCGATCGTACGACTTCCACGAGGCCGATCACACACTATGCAATCCGATCGTACGACTTCCACGAGGCCGATCACACACTATGCAATCCGATCGTACGACTTCCACGAGGCCGATCACACACTATGCAATCCGATCGTACGACTTCCACGAGGCCGATCACACACTATGCAATCCGATCGTACGACTTCCACGAGGCCGATCACACACTATGCAATCCGATCGTACGACTTCCACGAGGCCGATCACACACTATGCAATCCGATCGTACGACTTCCACGAGGCCGATCACACACTATGCAATCCGATCATACGACTTCCACGACGAGGCCGAGCACACACTATGCAATCCGATCGTACGACTTCCACAGCCGAGCACACACAATGCAAATCTGATTGTACAGTCTGATTTACAATTTACTTAAAGTGTTACTAAACCCAGGACCCTGTATTCACTATATCTGGTCTCCCACAGTACACACAACATGGAAGTGCAATTATTTTAGTAAATATAAACTGCTAAATACCTTTTCTCATCAGCAGTTAGATCAGTCTTGTGACTTCTATCAGTGTTCAGCTGAGCACTGGTTAAAGCTTGTAGGAGGAGTTTTCTTTCTGCTCTAGGAGGATGCAGGACCCCTGACCTCTGTCTGGACAGTGCCAATTGGCCCTGTGCTGATCACATGCACTCTCCCAAGAAAAAAAAACCCTCTTTAGCAATACACACAAAACTGAGTACTGAGCAATGTCTTCCATAGGTTCACACCAACAGCTACTTTCACACTGATCTGCCACAAAAACACAGCAAAAACAAATAGGCGCTTTCTGAGCATTTTTAAAGGACACATGAATTAAAAACTGCACCAAAAATGTTTCTCAGAGACGTTTTAAGGCGCTCTTCAGACGTTTTTAAGGTGCTTTTTAGGCATTTTGGGGCCTTTTTTTTAACTCCCCAAACATGCCCCAAAGATGCTGCAAGCAGGAGTTTTTTTACACCGCACCGCAACTGCAATGCCTCAGTGTGAAAACATACATAGATATACATTCACATACATAGGGAAGCATTTTTCTTGAGCTTTTCCAGTGCTTTTTTTTTTACGCAAAAACACTTCAATAACTCCTCAGTGTGAAAGTAGCCTAAGCATTTTCCACAGTGTTTTACAGAAATGCAGTACAGTCCATTTAACATGATTTCCTATGGGACACCACATTTCTGCATTTTCACCCGGTGCGTTTTTTGGAAAGGGTCAGGGATGTTTTTTAAATGCAAAAAGTTGCATTTTTGGTTCTATAGACTTCAATGGGAATGCTGCAGAGAAGCATGTAGTGCATTTTTGCTGTGTTTTTAACACATTTGTGATGCATTTTTTATGCATTTTTTTTATGTGTTTTGCGTTTTATACCTGCCTAGCAACAAGAAAATAAATAAATAATAACCGCAAAACACTTCAAAAACGCACTACAGAAATGGATCAAATGAAAACTGCACACCTATTGGTCCACCATTAACTATGTAGTACAAGGGCCTGTCTATATTGAACATCAATTGAATGGATTTTTCCTCACATTTATTTATTACAGGTACTTATATAGTGCTATCAATTTATGCAGCACTTTGCATATATATATTGTACATTCACATCAGTCCCTAACCCTCAAGGGGTGTACAATCTAATGTTCCTAACTTACATTCATATATACACATACTAGGGACAATTTAGACAGGATTCAATTAACCTACTAGCATGTCTTTGGAGTGTGGGAGGAAACCAGTGTACCCAGAGGAAACCCACACAGTCAGAACATGCAAACTCCTGGCAGGAGGTGCCATGGCTGGGATTTGAACCAATGACCCTGGTACTGCCAGGCGGAAGTGCTAACCATTTAGCCACTGTGTTGCTCTACATCATTTATATCAAATCAGGCAGGCCCTTGTACTACATAGTTGATGGTAGATCAAAAGAAGATTGTACAAATTATGATCACTTGTAGAGCTACTAAAACTATGTAATATGAGGATAAACATAAGCAATCTTTTCCATTAGTATCCAATCAGGCAGACTCCTGCACTACATAGTTGATGGTGGATCTAAAGGAGATCGTACAGATTTTATAGTGTATGGTCAGCCTTAAAGTAGATGAAAACCCATTAAAGTCACTAAAATCTCATATAACATTTAAAAAAGTTGTCCAAAATTCAGATACTGTATTAACCGCTTCCCGACCGCCCAATAGCAGAAACACTGTTACAGGGCGGCACGTATATATATATATATGTGATTTTGCATTTCTGGGTAGGGAGCATCCATGAGCTACGCACGCACACTACCCACGCCGCGGCTGTCCATCACCGGGTCCCAGCCGGTAATTATCCGCCGGCACCTGGTAATTACCGAGCATTTCCAACAGGGAGGAAGATTGTTTTGTTTACAAACAGCTTTCCTCCGTCAGCTCCGGCACACTGCTCGGGATGGCTGTGCTCAGTACAGTGAAGCACCCCGCCCCCTAGTAAAACACTCCCTGCATATAGCTAACCCTTTGATCACCTCTCAAGTTAACCCCTCCTTGCCCAATTCCATTAGTACAGTGTCAGTGCTTTTTGTTAGCACTGATCACTGTATTGGTGTCACTGGGGATGTCAGTGACACCAAGTTAGTTCCCTCCAGTGTCAGAATGTCCGCCACAGTCCCGCTAAAAGTCACTGATCGCTGCCATTACTTGTAGAAAAAAAAATCCCAGTATCTTCTCCTAGATTGTAAACTCCAAGGAGCAGGGCCCTCCTAACCCTCTTGTATTGAACTGTATTGTTGTTGTATTGTCTCCCGTTATATTGTAAAGCTGAGCAAACTGTTGGCGCTATATAAATCCTGTATAATAATAATCTGTTCCACCATTTATAAACGCCATAACTTTCACATAAACCAATTCATTTACACATATTGGGATTTTTTTTTAGCAAAGACATGTCGCAGAATACATTTTGGCCTAAATTTTTGACAAAGTTTGATTTTTAAAATTATTTTACTGGACATGTTTAACCGCCTCCCGCCCACCATATAGTAATATGACGGACGCAAGATGGTTATCTCGTTCTGGGAGGACGTCATGTGACGTCCTCCCATTCTCATCACCGCGCGTGCGCGGCTCCCGGAGCGTGCAGTGCGGTGATCGGCGGTGCGCTGTGTCTTTCGGACACAGCGGATCACCAATCCACGGAAAGAGCAGAAGACGTCGGCTCAGTCATGTGATAAGCTGTGTCCAATCACAGCTGATCACATGTAAACAGGGAAATGCTGGTTATCTGCATTTCTCTCCCCACAAGCTGTCACGCTGACAGCTCAAGAGGAGAGGAGAGCCGGTAATCAGCATTCCTCGGAGGGGACATGTACACAGATCATCAGAGCACTGATGATCAGTGTGCCCTGATGATCTGTGTAGCCCCAGCAGCGCACCTGTCAGTGTCCATCAGTGCCAGCTCTCAGTGCTCATCCATGCCACCTGCCAGTGCCCATCAGTGCCACATTTCAGTGCCCATCAGTGCCCATCTGAGCTGCCTTTCAGTATCACCCATCAGTGCTAGTCAGTGCCACCTATCAATGCCAGTCAGTGCCACCTATCAGAGCTGCCAATCAGTGCCACCTATCCGTGCCAGTCAGTGCCGCCTATCAGTCAGTGTGCCTATCAGTGTGCATCAATGCCGCCTATCAGTGCCCGTCAGTGCTGCCTATCAGTGCCACCTAACAGTGCCAGTCAGTGCCGCCTATCAGTGCTACTTATAAGTGCCATATATGAGTGCTGCCTTTCAGTGCCCATCAGTGATGCCTGTCAATGCCCATCAGTGCCACCTACCAGTGCTTTCTGATCAGTGCCCATCAGTGCCACCTATCAGTGTCCATCAATGCAGCCTATCAGTGCCCATCACTGCAGCCTCATTAGCGCACATCAGTGAAGGTGAAAAATCACTTATTTACAAACTTTTGTAACAAAAACTAAGAAAAAAAAATTTTTTTTTTCAAAATTTTCAGTGGTTTTTGGTTTAAGAAAAAATAAAAAACACAGAGGTGATTAAATACCACCAAAATAAAGCTCTGTCTGTCGCAAAAAAAAATGATAAAAATTTCATATAGGTACAGTGTTGGATGACCGCGCAATTGTCATTCAAAGTGCAACAGCGTTGAAAGCTGGAAATTGGCCTAGGCAGGAAGGGGGTATAAGTGCCCTGTAGGCAAGTGGTTAATAGCAAAAAGTCCAAAATATTGCTTTTTTCTCAAAAATGTCTTTTTTTATAGGGCAAAAAAGAAAAACCGCACAGGCAATCAAATACTGCCAAAAGAAAGCTCAATTTATGGGAAAAAAAGATGTAAATTTCATTTGGGTGCAACGTTGCATGACTGCGCAATTTTCTGTTAAAGTAACAGCGCCGTAACGCAAAAAATGGCCTGGTCAGGAAGGGGGGTAAATCCTCAGGAGGGCAAGTGGTTAAACCCAAAAAGTCAAGTCATAAAAGTAGTCCTTTTATCCACATAAAGTGCCAGATGATATTCCACCAAAGTGCCAAATCTTTTGTCAAACTAACAGGTCCATTTATAAAACATTTAGTAGATGAATGAGTGAGGCACATTCCCACAGGCTAAACTCATTTTTCCTATATTTTCTGTAATAGAGAAATCCCTGTGATTGTCAGTTCCATCTAGTAGCCAAAGTGTGATACATTTTCTCATTGAGGTTGCTTGGAAAACATTACCACATTTTGGCCACTAGATGGAGATGACAATTATAGGAATTAGGCTCCATGCACACTGGGCGTTTTAATAACTCTGGTAGCGTTAGCTGTATAAAGTCGCGTTACAAATGTGAGTTTTTCAGCGTTTTTGCAATAGCGTTTAGTCTCGTTTCTCCGCGTTTGTGTTTTTTTAGAAAAGAAAAAGAATAAAATTTTGCTAAAAAAAAGCCTCGAAATGCTGGTTTGTTGCGTTTTACCGCATTTTTCAGCGGTTTTTCTGCATTTCTGCATTTACGAGCGTTTTTAGAGCTAAAAAAAAACCCTCTAGTGCTGGGCTGTTTTTCCAGCCAAAAAAACATCCCTGCCAAAAAAAAATGTGATGGAAAGCCTATATGTGCATGGACACAAAGTGCAACATGCTGGGGAGTTTACTGGCTGTAGAAACAAAAATGGCAAAAGCCAAAAACAGCCGCTGTAAAAATGTCCAGTGTGCATGAGGACTTAATCTATTACTGAAACTGCAGGGGATAGTCATCCAGGCTGCACAAACCTGTTTGACATTTGTCCAACAAATGTTCCATAAATAGACGTTTGCAGAGATCAGTCCACAAACAGCGGAATGGAGGTGAATTAGGTCCTATTCTCAATCACAAGAGCATACAACCAGCTTAGTAATAAGAGGTCATATCAACCTAGTGAGTTTTTACCTGGAAGGAATCACAACTGGTGGACTGAATCCCTGTCAGCACTTAAAGTGTAATTCCACTTTTGTTAAAAAAAAAAAAAAAATGTAGAGTACATTGCAGGGATTTTAACAAACTTTGTTGCAGAGTTCTACCTTTTTCTGTTCTGTAGGAATAGCTGTTTGTATCATCACACCCTGGCAAGACTGATCCCTGAATGGGAAGATCTGATTCATTATAACCGCCTGGTACACTTTCAGTGTTCTAATGAGGAAAGCTGCAGTGTCTGCATCCCTTTAGAAATAAATAACCCAAAGGCTAGATTCACACTTTACAGGCTGCATTTGACCTGTTTCTGCAGTACATTTTGTGTTGCGTATTGCTTTTTTGCACCTGCGTTTTTGCCGTGTTTTGCGGGGGGGTTTTTTGTTGTTGTTTTTTTATTTTATTGTTGCTAGGCAGATTTAAAATGCAAAACCGCAGCAAAAACACAATACATGCTTTTCTGCAGCGTTTTCATTGAAGTCAATAGAACCAAAAATGCAACTTTTTGCATTCAGAAAAGTCCCTGACCTTTTCCAAAAAAACGTACCGGGTGAAAACGCTGAGAAGTGAACACGTCCCATAGGAAATCATGTTAAATGGACTGTACTGCTGTCACAGAGCTGGTCTCCCCCCCCATCTCCTGGTCTGCTGCCTGCCATCCCCCACCCCCACCCCCCTGGCAGCCCCTCACTCTACTGTTGCCAGCAATCTGGCCCCTTGCCAATGGAGCACCCTGCTCCCCTGGCCGAGCGCGAGAAAGTTAGCCCCCCTTGCTGTGGGAATCCACATGCAGGCTCTCTCCGGTCACCCCCTCACTGTCCCCACGTGCATGGTGCTATCCTCCTGCGCTCCATGCCCAATAGGGACAAAGGCCACGTTCCCTGTGCGGGGACGGAGACGCGGGGGCGGGGCCCGTTGCCATGGTAACCCGACGCTAAGTCTTGGGTTACCATGGCAACAGGAACGTGCCCGGCTCTGTATTTAATGCAGAGCTGAGCCCCGGTCTTGGGGTAGATCTCCTGGCTGCTGTCCTGTTAGTGTGAGTGAGGTCTGAGCTCCAGGCCAGCCTCCTCACTGATCCAATCCTCTCCTCTCACTGAGCTCCACTGCCTGCCAGTTTGCTGCCAGATCCCTTTGCTGTCTGTGAGTTTCTCTGTGCAGATTAACCCTCGGCTGCCTGGATCTCTTGCCTGGCAGGCTTAACCCTTTGCTGCCCATGAGCCTGGCAGACTTAACCCTTTGCTGCCCATGAGCCTGGCGGACTTAACCCTTTGCTGCCCATGAGCATGGCGGACTTAACTCTTTGCTGCCCATAAGCATGGCGGACTTAACCCTTTGCTGCCCATGAGCATGGCGGACTTAACCCTTTGCTGCCCATGAGCATGGCGAACTTAACCCTTTGCTGCCCATGAGCATGGCGGTCTTAACCCTTTGCTGCCCATGAGCATGGCGGACTTAACCCTTTGCTGCCTGGAGATGCCTGTGGGGATTGACCCTATGTTGCCTGTGTGGACTGTAACCCTCCATGTCCGGCTCCCGGCATCCAGTAAGTGAACTAACCCCTTGCTGCCCAAAAGACTTAGCCCAATTCTCCCGAACCCTCTCCCACGGAACCTCCGCCCCTCCGTCCTGTTTAACCCTGTGGACTATCAGCCCTCTGTTGTCCCATATTGCCTTCCAGAGAACTTTACTGTGTTGCTGTGTATTGTGTTGTTCTGTGGACTAACAGTTCTATTGTCTGTACCCTTGAAAAATTCCCCAATAAATGCCCGCACGCCGGGTTCTGTGCAATCTGTCTCCATGTGCTCCCTCTCTGCGCTCCTAGTACATTACAACTGCGTTTGTGCAAAACGCTGCAGAAAATGTTTAGGTGTGATCCTAGTGTTAGAGTGTATCTTGTCAAAAATGAAATTCAATTTGCAAAAAGTGCCTAAAATTGTATTTATATGGTAGTGCAGACATGTAGGCCGCTGGGGCCCAGTCTCCAGGCTGATATAATACAATGATTTTTTTGACAGCTTTAGATAATTACAGCAGCTTCAGATTGAAGTGGAAATGTAATTATTGAGGAAATTAATTTACAAAATGGCTTGTGTGGCAATTTTATATGTTTTTGTTTTTTTTTTACAAAAGTGGGATTCCCAATGTGTCACCTGATTAAGCTGAGGTATTTTTTCTATGCAGATATTTTTCTTTTTATAAAATTCTTCTTCATATACTTACACCTAGAAGAAACATAATCCTGGGATGATGATATGTACACACTTGCTGAAACCCTTGATACCTATGTGGTTCACTTGCCTTGCATCTGGTAGCTGTTTATACAATTAGTTTATGGTTTATATTTAGGGCTCATTCACGCCATTATTAAAAATATATTGCACTATGAGGAGCCTTCTTTACTTCATTTGAGCACACATCTGCCTTTAAGACCTATTGATGTTGACGCTCACTGACCGGCACATGCTGAAAGGATCGAAAGATTTTGACAGAGTGCACATTGACCTGTAGGATCTATAGGTTGTGTGCATTGCACATAATTGCAGGACGTACTGTATAACTGGTTCATGTTTGGGGGGCGCTACTGCCCGCTGAATGCTACAGAGGGTATAATATTTGCCATGCCGTGAAGCAAAGCATAACTTTGGGTCTTTCACAGGGGCTCGTTGGGGAAGTTATGCATTAATTGTAATAAGGCAAGACCATTTAAACTGAATATTTTTAGTAGAGTAATGGCTGAGAAAGCCATCTTGAAATTCCAGAGTTACATCACTACCCCCATGGCTATAACAGACCTCATTCAGCTTTATTCCTGCCGGTTTCATTTGCATACAGACAGTTCCCGCGCTCATATGTACCCGGGGCACTCTACAAGTTGAAACGAGGTATGTGCAGATACCTCCAGGTGTTTTCTTTCAGGATCTCATGTCAAATGAATAATTTTATCCAAGTGGCATGGGACTGCACAGTCCTCCATCTCTGCACTACACCAAAAATGATAAGAACAGCAGTAAATATTAAAGTGTTAATAAACCCGCAACGGTAAAATCAGTCTGTATATGCAGTAAAGCATGCTTGTTATACTCACTGTGAAACCTAAGGGGTTAATCCTCTGCATTGTGTAAAAAGGCTGTTTGATCCTGTCTTCTCTAATTCTCCCCTTCTTCCAGTGTCCCCCTCTTATCTCCTGATAAGACATATCATG